GTGAACGATTGAAACCAATGGTCAATGACATTATTGGACCATACCAATGTGGTAGCTTCAGACCTGGCATTTTCACTCTGCGCCAAATCCTGGAAAAACCCCATGAAAAACACATCGACACATACCACCTATTCGTCAACTATAAAGCCGCATTCGACAGCCCTATCCGTTCAGCGGTGTTTAAAGCCATGTCTGCGTTTGGCATTCCTGCAAAATTAATTCGGCTATGCAGTGACACAAGATCAGCAGTTAAAGTCGGAAAGGACCTCTCGGACCCATTTAATACCGAATACCGAGGATTAAGACAAGGTGATAGTTTGTCGTGTGACCTTTTTTAACATCGTGCTGGAATAGGTCATGCGAGAGGCAAAAGTGAACAGAAATGGCACTCTGTACACCAAACAACACATGTTACTCGCCTACGTCGCCGATGACATCGATATAATGGGTCGAAAATTGCGAGCGGTAACATCCACCTTTGAACAAATTGAGAAGGAGGAAATTGAAAAGTGGGTCTGACAGTAAACGGTGAGAATACCAAGCTGATGGCATCAACGCGCAAGACGTCCAGTATGCTCGGACCAACTGTGGAACTTGAGAACTACAACTTCGAGGTAGTTAAAGATTTTATATATCTTGGTAACGCCGCCATAAACAAAACGAATGACATCAATTTGGAAATTCGGAGAAGGATAGTGATGGCCAACCGGTGCTACTATGGTCTGAGCATACAACTCAAAAGCAAGGCCATCTCCCGCCAGACCAAACTCGCACTCTACAAGACGCTGATACTATCCGTGCTGTTATACGGATCTGAAGCATGGGTACTTAAGCAAGCAGATGAGACAGCTCTCTGGAGTGTTTGAGGGAAAAATTCTCCGAAAGATCTATGGGCCGATCTGCGTTGACGGTGAATATCGCCGTCGAATGAACCATGAGTTGTACCAGCTATTCTCGGACATCGACATTGTTAGACGTATTGAGCTGCAGCGGCGACTACGTTGGCTAGGTCATGTTGTGAGAATGGATGAAGATGCCCCAGCCCAGAAGGCATATAAATGCGAACCAGCTGATGGTTCACGCAGAAGGGGAAGGCCAAGAATACGATGGAAAGATAAAGGTGAAGGCAACATCTCGGAGCATGGTCTTTCAAATTGGAGGAGATGCGCACAAGACCGAAGCGCCTGGAAATTATTTTTCTAAGCTCGGCTTATGGAACGAACGTTCTGTCACAAGCCAGCTAAGTAAGTAAGTTTTTTGAGTTTTCCACCAGTGGTGGATTTCTAAAAAAAAAATATTTTTTCTTAAAAATTATTTTTTTTTTATTATTTTTTTCAAACCAGTTTTGATTATAACCACAACCATATGCACATATTTCTGGGCGAGAGATAAGAAATGATCGTCATTGCTCCCAAACCTTTTTTTTTTAATTATCAAAAAAAAAATCGTCGCACCCTCACTGCCACAAGGGTCATAATTTTATTTTATTTAAAATCCGTAAACATTTCACAGAGATTAAAAAAAATAATTTTTTAAATTTAGAAATTTCAGGTCGGATGGCCGTTTGATTGATAAAAAAACAAACTTTACTAATCAAAAAACCCGGCAATAAAAATTGGGGAACAACAAGAAGACATAAATTTAAAACTGATTTCCCGATTATCATAACAACAACAACAACACGAATAACAACAAACAAGTCTAATGGCCGCACATGCAGACCATAAAATAGGCGAAGAATCGAATCGACAAAAAAAAGAAAAAGAAAACAATTTAAAGTGGGTTAATGAGTGAGAATAAGGCACAGTGTTCGGAAGTGGTATGAAACGATGAACGGAAATGACCTTGAAATTTCCTAGGGATTTTTTTAGCTTCGCCTATTTAGATTACTATTTTCAATCGATATTTATAAATTTTAAAAATAAATGTTGATTTAAAAAAATTTTATTTAAAACAAAAATCGATGCAAGTGTTTGAAAAAAAAATTTTTGTAATTTTTTTTTTTTTTTGAACTGAAAAAAATGTTTGCCAAATCTATTTTGAACCAAAACATATGTTACAAAATTTTGAGTTTTTTTTTCTAACTACCACCAAAGCCAGCTGACACCTAGGTTTGCCTAGAGGTGGATGGATGGGGACCCTTGTCAATTTACATGTTTTTTGTTACATTTTTTTCAAAATTTTGCAGGTGTTGCTATTTGGGATAACTTAATCTTTGATTGTTGTTATTTTTACTTTATTGTTGTTGTTATTGTTGTTTTTTGCAAATATTCGTGGGAACCATTTGTCGTTTTGGGCTGGTCGCCAAAAATTACACAAAAAAACACCATCAAATAAATATGTCAAAGTTGTTATTTTTACATGGCTAGGAAACAAATTAAAGGCGTGGCAAATCGTGTTTTTTTTGTCATTCGTTCTTGTATTGACAATGGTATTGAAAATCTTAAAATTAAATGGACAGTGATACCACATGAAAAAGGATTGGATATTCTATTTAATATTTTTTAATTTAATATTTTTAAATTCTTAAAAAAATATATATTTTTTAAAAAATCCACGCCTTGCGAAAACTTGAAAAAATAATTTTTAAAAAATCCACGCCTTGCGAAAACTTGAAAAAATAATTTTTAAAAAATCCACGCCTTGCGAAAACTTGAAAAAATAATTTTTAAAAAATCCACGCCTTGCGAACACTTGAAAAAATAATTTTTAAAAAATCCAAGCCTTGTAAAATTTTGAAAAAAATTATTTTTAAAAAATCCACGCCTTTTGAAAACTTCAAAAAAATTTTTTTAAAAAATCCACGCCTTGTAAAATATTCTGGAAAAAATATTTTTTAAAAAATCCACGCCTTGTAAAATTTTGAAAAAATAATTTTTAAAAAATCCACGCCTTGTAAAATTTTGAAAAAATAATTTTTAAAAAATCCACGCCTTGTAAAATTTTGAAAAAATAATTTTACAAAAATCCACGCCTTGTAAAATTTTGAAAAAATATTTTTTAAAAAATCCACGCCTTGCGAAAACTTGAAAAAATAATTTTTAAAAAATCCACGCCTTGCGAAAACTTGAAAAAATAATTTTTAAAAAATCCACGCTTTGCGAAAACTTGAAAAAATAATTTTTAAAAAATCCACGCCTTGCGAAAACTTGAAAAAATAATTTTTAAAAAATCCACGCCTTGCGAAAACTTGAAAAAATAATTTTTAAAAAATCCACGCCTTGCGAAAACTTGAAAAAATAATTTTTAAAAAATCCACGCCTTGCGAATACTTGAAAAAATAATTTTTAAAAAATCCACGCCTTGCGAAGCCTTGCGAAAACTTGAAAAAATATTTTTTAAAAAATCTACGCCTTGTAAAATTTTGAAAAAAATAATTTTTAAAAAATCCACGCCTTGCGAAAACTTGAAAAAATAATTTTTAAAAAATCCACGCCTTGCGAAAACTTGAAAAAATAATTTTTAAAAAATCCACGCCTTGTGAAAACTTGAAAAAATAATTTTTAAAAAATCCACGCCTTGTACAAAAAAAATTGAAAAAATAATTTTTAAAAAAATCCACGCATTGAACATTTTTGAAAAAATAATTTTTAAAAAATCCACGCCTTGTAAAATTTTGAAAAAATATTTTTTTAAAAAATCCACGCCTTGTAAAATTTAAAAAAAATAATTTTTAAAAACTCAAAGCCTTGTAAAATTTTGAAAAAATATTTTTTTATAAAATCCACGCATTGTGAATTGTTGAAAAAATATTTTTTATACCCTTCACCACACTGCTGTGGTACAGGGTATTATGTCTTTGTGCATATGTTTGTAACAGGTAAAAGAAAACGAGATGGTCTACAAAAGTCCCTATTTATCTTTCGATTTGCACGATATTTGGCATAGTGTATTGAATTAGGCCTAGAAGTATATGTGTTAAGTTATATATTTTCCCGATTCAAAAATCACCAAAGTCCCTAAAAATCAAGTGTAGAATGACGTGTGCTAAATTTCGTGCAAATCGGTTCAGATTTAGATATAGCTCTCATATATATTTTTGTCCGATTCAAGGTAAATGGGGCATCAAAGTCCCTATATATCCTTCGATTTGCACGAAATTTGGTACACCGTACTAAATTAAGACCACAATAATGTGTGCTAAATTTCGTAAAAATCGGTTCAGACTTAGATATAGCTCCCATATATATATTCGTCCGATTTCATGTAAATGGTGCACCAAAGTCCCTATATATCTTTCGATTTGCACGAAATTTGTTATAGTGTATTGAATAAGGCCTAGAAGTATGTGTGTTAAGTTTCCTGAAAATCAATTCAAATGTAGATATAGCTACCATATATAGTTTCTTCCGATTTTATGTAAATGGTGCACCAAAAATCCAAAGTTAGGTCGATTGACAGAAAATTTTGCACAACGTTCTGATGTTAATATAACCCCTAGGGTGTGTAAAGTTTTATTGAAATCGGTTCAGATTTGGATAGATCTCCCGCATATATAGTTTCTCTCGATTTTAAAAGTAAATGATAAACCAAGAACTCAAATTACCAACAAACTGAAATTAGTATAACTTAACCTCTGACAAGTTTCTAGGAAATCGGTTTAAATTTCGATATTTTGCTTTAAATTGATTTACACAATTTTGTCCCATTGTAAGAAGCAACCCTATATCCGACCAAATGAAAAAATTAGTATAGGTTGCAGAATGCATTGTTTAATTTCATGTTAATGGTCCTTCAAAAATGCGACGTCTGTTAGGATTCCATCTGTTGAATATACGAAGGGTATGTGAAGAGTATCATATAGTCGTATCATAAGGGCATCATATAGATAGTCATATAGTCCGACTTTACTACTTTCCTTACTGTTTTTTCTTATTTCTTTTTTTTGTTTTTTTTGGAAAAATTCCATATATTTTTTTTTAATAAATCAATATTTTTTCTTAACTGAAAAAAATTTTTCTTATAGTAAAAAATCGAGTCTTATTTGAACCCGCACTCACCTCTAAAATTTGCTGATCGATATCGGATGCAACAGTTGCTGCCTGTACACGACTAAAATCCAAAGTACCCGGTGTTATGTGTAACCGTTCATTTGTACCAGAATCGCGGGAAAGATCTGTAAAGAAAAAAATACAACAACAATTATAAATAGTTATTAATAATGTCTGTGATCAGGATAGGAACAATTTTTAAAAATAAATAAATTACCTCAAAGAGAGAGAGAGAAAAATGGTGGCAATGAATTAAAATAGACAACTGAAGGTCACTCGCTACTCATAAAGAGAAGAACATTTATTTAGGGGAATGATTTGAAAAATTGAAATCAATTATTGAGTGAAATGTGCCATGTCTCGATATGAGGGAGACATTTTGGGAAGGAGAATTTGTGATGAAATAAAGGCTAGTCTTTTTTCTAAATTTACAGAATAATATAAACACATCGTTATAAATAGCGTCAAAAAAGCGGAAAGGAAATCATAAACAACAGAAAATCGGAAAAAAAAATCCGTTCAATTATAAACATGAAAACACAATTTAAAAATAAAAATTAATGCAACAAAGCCGCCTTCGTCGATTTTTTTTTTTGCAATTTTTGCAAAAATACGTTGTAAACAATTTCCCATTGAAAATAAAGAACATCGATGAATGAAAATGCAATGAGAGGCTATTTTGTGAAGGAAAAACAGTGGTTAGAAAAATTTAAATGGCAAATAAATTAATTACGAAAATAAAAAAAAAAAACTAAATAAAAGTAATGGTTGATTAAATATTGAAAATAAAATAATTTTTCAAATACCTATTGAGTGTGTATTAAAAACCAGTATTTGAAAAAAAAACCTTTATTATTCATACGCCACCATTAACTATTAAATAATTATTTTTATTAATCATACGCAACGTGTGCGTGTGTGGTATTTAAAATATTCTTATTAATCATACGCAACCGGCGACTATTATTTTGATATTTTTATTAATCATACGCAACATGGGATTATCAAAATATATTTGTTTTCTTACTTATCTCGAAATGTTGATTTAAAAAAAACATATCTATTTTTTTTCAATGACCAATACGTAGTTTGGATTTGTAAAACAACGTATATGGGTCAATTTTTATTAATTACTGGTTTTATAAATAACATATTTTTTACGAACGTGGATTTTTTTAAAATACTGTTTTTAATTTCTACCCAAAAGAGTAATAAAAAAATATATCTTTCCCTATACGAATATCTGATTTGGATTTTAAAACATATTTTTTAAGGCCACCATAGGCGTGGATTTAAAATAAAAAAAATATTTTTTTCCAATGATCACCTAGAGAAATGATTTTTGAAAAAAAAACCAGTAAGGAAAGTAGTAAAGTCGGACGGGGCCGACTATATGATACCCTTCACCACTATGAGTATATTAAACAGGGCTAATAACATGAAATTGGATGAAATAAAATATGTGATATTTATCTAAATGTGAATCGACTTAGATCTATCCATAAACATGTCATTCGTTTGTTACAATGGGACAAAAGTATGTAAATCGACTTCAAAAAAATATCAATAGGTCATCCGTTGGGCTATGTCTGTACTTCTAGAAAACGCAACTACGTAATTCTATGCTCAATTTTGTACGTTGTGCAAAATTTGATGCCAATCTGACTAACATGAGGAATTTGATACCCAATTTACTTAAAATCGGGTGAAAATATATATGGAAGCTATATCCAAATATGAACCGATTTCAACGAAACTAATCACATGTTAGGTTACACTAATTTCAGTAAGTTTTGTTCCTATCAGCCATATATTGGTCCCTTGGTGCGTCAATTTCTTAAAATCAATCTATAATATATGGAAGCTCTATCTAAATGTCAACCGATTTTCACAAAAACTTGGCACACATCATTCTGTACTAAATTCAGTACGCCAAATTTCGTGCAAATCGAAAGATATATGTGGACTTTGGTGCACCATTTACATGAAATCGGACGAAACTATATATGGGAGCTATATCTAAATCTGGACCGATTTTCACGAAACTTGCCAGACATCATTCTAGACCCAAATGATTACGCTGTACCAAATTTCGTGTAAATCGAAAGATATATAGGGACTTTGGGGCACCATTTACATAAAATCGGACGAAACTATATATGGGAGCTATATCTAAATCTGGGCCGATTTTCTCGAAACTTGGCAGACATCACTCTAGGCTTAATTCAGTACGTTATGCAGAATTTCGTGCAAATCAAAAGATATATAGGGACTTTGGGGCACCATTTACATGAAATCGGACGAAACTATATATGGGAGCTATATCTGGACCGATTTTCACGAAACTTGGCACACATCATTCTATACCTATATGATTAGGCTGTACCAAATTTCGTGCAAATCGAAAGATATATAGGGACCGTTTCCATTAAATCGGGCGAAAATATATATGGGAGCTATATCTAAATCTGAACCGATTTTTCCCAATTTCAATAGGGTTCGTCCTTGGGCCAAACAAATGAACTGTGCCAATTTTCATCCATATCGGATCATAAATGCGACCTGTACTTTGCTCACAAAAATACATGGACAGACAGACAGACGGACGGACGAACATGCATAAATCGACTTAAAAAGTGATTCTATGCATATTCTCAAAAGGAACCATGAGTCTATCTCGTTTCCTTTTGCCTGTTACAAACATATGCACAAAGACATAATACCCTGTACCACAGTGTGGTGAAGGGTATAAAAATGATTTTGGGGGCCAATACAATGTACTAAATTTGGTGCAATTTGAATTGTGGGTGAGCCGATAGAGTTGGAAACCTGAAATTTGGAGTCAGGATTACTGTTTGGAATTAGGATAACTGAGGGGATGTGAGTTTGGGTTCAGTAGGAAGTATTGGAAATTCGTACTATTGTGTACTAAATTTGGTACAATTTCAATTGTGGATGAACCATAGACTTGGAATCCTGAAATTTGAATTTGGAATCATTATGAAGTGTAGGATCGGAGTATGCAGGAAGTTTGTTTAGATTGTTGAGGTGGGTACTCTTGGCAATCATGTTTGCTAAATTTGGTACAATTTGAATTTGGGCGAACCTGTAGAGTTCGAATCATGAAATTTGGTACTAAATGGTACTCAAATTTAATTTATGATCGATATTAATGTGTGGATAGCATATATTTTCTGACATATGCAGTTTTCTGCGAAAATAATATATTAATACATGTTTAAATAAATCCCACATTCGCTAATGAAGTAGCGGGCATATGCTAGTTATACGTAACCGTATTATTATACGCAACCGTATTATTAATTATACTCAAATTTTGAATATTTTATATAGTTTTTATTAATCATACGCAACTGAGACTATAGTTATAATAATTCATGCGCAGCCTTAGACTATTATTTTTTTTTATAAATCATCTGCACACTGAAAATATTATTTTAATAGTTTTTTTTTTTTTTTGTAATTTATATAATATTTATATAAATTATGCGCTACATTTTAAATTTTTTATTAATCATACGCAATTGTTGACTAGGATATTCGTATTTGTATTAGTTGTGTGCACCCTTAGATTATTATCCTATTTTTTATTAATCATTCGCACCCAGAGACTATTACTTCAGTAGTTTTTATTAGTCACACACGCAACCCCATCGACAATTATTTTAATATTTGTATTGGTCATATGCAACCCGAGACTATAATTATCATATTTGTATCCATCATACGTTAATTTTTTTTTTTTTTATTAATCATACGCAACTTTTGACTGTATATTCCTTCTTAGTATTATTCATACGCAACCTGATATTTGTTATTATCCTAATTTTTATTAATCACTCGCACCCTGAAACTATTATTTTAAATTTTTTATTAATCATACGTAACCTGAGAATATCATTCTCTAAATTTTTATTAATCACACGCAAGCGTTGACTAGTATTTTCGTATTTGTTTTATTGTGCACTCGTAGGTTCTTATTATATTTTATTAATCATTCGCACCCTGAGACTATTACTTTAGTAGTTTTATTAGTTATTCGCAACCCCTTCGACAATAATTTTGCTATTATTAGTCATACGCAACCTGAGACTATAATTATCATATTTGTATCAATCATACGCGACCTTAGACTATCTAGTTAATTTGTTTATTCCTTATACGCAACCTTTGACTGTATACTCCTTGTTAGTATTATACTTATTATTAACTTATTTTTGTTAATCATTCACACCCCGAGACGATTTTTTCAATATTTTTTTTTTAATTATACACAACTTTAGATTAATATTTTCATATTTTTTTTATTAATCATTCGCACCTGAGACAAATTTTTCAACTAATTTTATTAATCATTCGCATCCTGAGACTATTGCTTTAGTAGTTTTTATTAGTCATACGCAACCCCATCGACAATTATTTTCCTATTTGTATTGGTAATACGCAACCTGAGACTAAAATTATTGTATCATACGCGACCTTAGACTATCGAGTTAATTTTTTTTTGTTATTAATTATACGCAACCCTTGACTGTGTAGTCTTTGTTAGTATTATTCATACGCAACCTTAGATTACTATTAACCTATTTTTATTGATCATTCGCACCCTGAGGTAAAATTTGCAATATTTTTATTAATCATACGCAACATTAGCTTAGATTATCATAAGCAACATTAGATTATATATAATTAGATTATAATCCTAATTAATATATTCCTATTTTTATTAATCATTCACACCCTGAGAAAACATTTTCAACATTTTTATTAATCATACACAACCTTAGCTATTTTTTAACCCGTCGCATTTGTTCAAAAATTTTTTTAATCATACGCAACCTTAGATTGATATTTTGCATATTTATATTAATCATACGCATCTTTAGATTAATATTTTTCGATATTTATATTAATCATACGCACCCTGAGACTATTATTTAAAATTATTATTAATCATACGCAACCTGAGACTATTAATCTCTACATTTTTATTAATCATACGCACCATCTTACTTCAAAAAATTATTAAATTATTTCTTCAAAATAAATTCAAAAATTCTTCCCCAAAAAATACCTCCTGAACCCACTGTTTGTCCCCCACACT